TGCAGAAAATGAGGCCGTAAGTGACCTGACAAAGAGCGCTGGGGATGTTCTGTTTGGTGTGCGAATTGCACACGCGAGTAGGCAGCGCAGTCACAGCTCGCTGCCACCGCAGCCAGCGTACACCCTTGTGCTTTAAGGCTTCTCGGGCTCTTTGAAGCAACGACCACCACCGTATGTGCGGCTGCAGTATCAATCTTTGACCCGGGGTGTTTTATCTTCCATTAGCAAGCCTTTCTCTGCGCCGAACTGGTTAAGTTAGGGTCAAATCTGGTTCAATACCTTCTTGGCATGCTCAGAGGGCCGGGTTTAAACAGTTGCTGAGACGGAGATGAGGCTGCCTTCCTGAGAGCGCGTCCCCGCGCAGCGTGCTGCTGCCGCGGCCGGCGGGGCTCTGCCCCGGCCCGGGGCTGGTGGGGCTGGGGGCTGCCCGTGCCGGGCAGGTCGCGCTGGCACGGCGGTGGAGCGGCTCCGGGGGCTGGCGGTCACACATTGCCTTTTGTTGACTCTAAAAACACGACTGCTTCTGGTGGGAAGCTGAGCGTGGCTGCGTGCTGGGGAGGTTGCGTGGCGCACAGCCTCGGTTCCTGCTCCACGGAAGGAAATCCCATCGGGATAGTAGGCTGTGGCGTGAAAGGACGCGTTTTGACATAAAAGGACTCTAAGAGAGAAAATAAACCATCCTGCGACTCAGAGCCTGGAATATTAAGCGTGAGGCACAGCGTGTCGATGACTGGAGAGAGACTTGCGAGGCACTCCCCGAGAAACTGAGCCTGGCTGTAAAATAAGCAGGTTACCGATAGCCTTGCATATATTTACGAGATACGGTTATAAGAGTAGCTTCCCCCCTGCCCTGCTCCAGCCCGCGCGATGGGAGGTGGTTCTCCAGGAAGGAGAGCCGCCGGTGAAGGAGCACTGCCTGGCACTTAAAGCCTTGTGGTCCGCAGCTCTCGATTGTGTTCCTGGGTCTGCCAGCGACTCGCTGTGTTCTTGGGCCAGCCGGGGCGGCTGTCGGTGCCCGGGGTTTCCAGCTCTAGAATAGGAAGAATACTTTTCTAACTCGGAGGGAAGTTGAGAGGCTCAGCAGACGCGTGCACGCGCGGTGCTCGAAGATTGGTGAATGGAAAGTGGGACAGAAATGCAGAGTGTGAGCCCCGCGCATGTGAGCGTCTGCCTTTGCCGCTTAGAAAATATTGGCTGCAAGTGTCTGCGGAGCAGCTGTGAATGTTGGACTGTAGATAAGGAGAGGAGCAAGGATGTTGTTTTCCAAACCCTGCGCGGTGCCGGGAGCCCTGCTCCGATGTTTGGGTGTGGCCTGTGAATGCACCGGCAGGATCCGACTTCCCCTTGCAGAAGAGGAGCTGCACGCACGTTGCCTGACCCTTGATCACTCAATCCCTTGAACGTTGGAAACAAAGCGATGGGACTTTACTGCGGGGTGAGGAGATCTCTCTGGAGAGCTGGGAAAGGCAGGAAGGAGGAGGGCGGCAGCGGCGGTGCCGGGGTTCGGGGTTCAGCTCTGGGCTGGCTGGTTGGGGCGGCCACCGTCGCTTCCATCTGTGCCACGAGTGGCGTGGAACTGGGCAAAAGGCGGCTGGTCCTGAGACAGGCACTGGTAATGGATTGTGTTCTGTTTTCTAATGAAAGTTTCATTTGAAGTTTGTTTACAGGAAAGAAGAAATTAGCAGAGAGAATTCTCCTGAGAACCCAGAGAGGAAAAAGAATGAGCTGCCTGACTTGCAAGCCAAAAGAGGGTGGAAGGGTAGATTAGATTTACCGTATTGCTCCGAGTCGTAGCTGTTGCTGCTGTTCAGAAACGCTTCCTTGTTTGGCTGGACGGCACAGCCCGCTTCGAGGCTCAGCCTTCAGCCAGGTTGTTGGCATCCAGGGGAAATTCAGAGCTGCCTGCCCAGTCAGAAAGTTTGGTCCCACTCTGGTGTCCCGTGTTTTGATGCCGGGACGTGTGCTGCGCTGCCATCCCACCGCTCCAGCAGACCGAAATGGTGCCGGTCCTGGGCCGGGGCTGGGCAGCCGGTGCTCTGGGCATTGCTGCCGGGGCCTCCCGCCCCTGGGATTGTCCCTGGCGCGAGCGGGGCAGTGCCGGCAGTTGCCGCTGGCACTGACGGGCAGCATGAGGAGGTCGCAACACTTAGCTTTGGTCTCCGAGGGGTGTCCTGAGGAGGGAGCTTGCTGGTGGCCTCTCGTGTCCCAGCGAGCAGCAAGGGATGCAGCCGAGGGGCAGCGGAGGCTGCCAGAGCCACGGCGACGGGGACGGCCAGAGCCGCGCTCGAGGTCGGGGCCTTTCTCTTGCTTTAGGGAGGAGGCGCAAAGGTGTGAGGAGCTCCCGGGGCACCACGGCGTGGGCAGAGCTGTGGGAGCTGCCCCAAGCCTGCAGGCAGTGGAGATGCTCTCTTGGCGGTTCCCACCGCCGGCTTTGGCTGCTCCCCGCTGCCGTGGAGGGCTCACCCCGCCGCCGCCTGCACGGTCGGCTTTGCATTCCCTTGGGGTGGGCTGTGCTGCGGGAGCTGCGCGCTGCCGGGACGTTTGTCCCGTTGGCGTTTTGGCCAGGGAGTTCGTGCTGGAAAGCAGCAGGCCCTGGCTGGAAAGCAGGGGGTGACGCTGGGGACACGGGGCCGCCGGGCAGGGTCCCACAGCAGCAGCCTGCGCTTTCTGCTGGTGGCCGGATCCTGGACTCGTGAACGCGCGACGGCCTTGTTTGACTTGAGTCGTTTATAGCTTACCAGTTTCTGGTTTGATACGCAGAGTATTTCTAATAATAGGCGAACGTTACTGCACCTTGAGAGAATTGTACACATTTATAAAGCACTTTACATAGCATGTGCATGCGAAGCATCCTTCATGTCGCCGCTTTTCCACCGCGCGTGAGCGCGCGGAGAGCGTGACACCTCCCAGGTTACGGTCGGGGTGCCGAGGCTGGGCGTCCTCCCCAGCTGAGCCCCGCAGGCGCTGTGCCTGAGCCGGACGCCTGCCGAAAACATCGCGGGTCGCTCCCAGGGCTCCTCCTCCTCACCGGCCAGGTGAGAGACTGTGGGCAGCAAGGACCTTGGCATTTGCGTTCGTCTCTTAAGCTCTGACAGTAATCTGGAGTAAGCCTTGTGAAGAAGGCCAGATATTAGGGTGGCTGCCTCCCTGCAAATGCTTACAATAAAGAGACTATTTATAGTTTGCAACAGGGAGACCTTTGCAGTTCTGTTCCTGTACGTACAAGATGGAGTTTCTGGAGAGGCAGGAGTGCTCCGTGGCTGGCGTGGCAGCGGTGCGGTGCTGAGCCGGGGGACGCCGCGCCTCTCCTGCTCTGCCTGCCCTGGGCGCGGGGGCCTGCCGGGGGCACCCGGCTGGCAGCGCCGGTGGCTCCCGGGGGCGGGGGGGTCCTGTCCCGGTGGGGGGGGGGGGGGGGGGTGGTCGGTGGCTCCAGGGGTCGGGGTGTTCCTGTCCCGGTGGTGGGCGGGCGTGGGGCTGCTGAGCCCCGTCCGTCCGTCCGTCCATCGGTGCGTGCAGGGTTCCACAAGCCGTAAATTCCAGGAAACTCCCCGGGAGGCACATGGAGGGAGTGGGCTGGGGGCGGGCGCGAGCCCTGAGCCAGCAGATGTGTCTGCAGGGACGAGGAGCGGGGAGGAAAAGCACAAACCTGTCTTTAAAGACATTTGTTTGTTCACAATAAAAGCTGTCAGCCAGCGGCAGCCAGACAGGGCAGTTTTTATGAGGCGCAGGCGTAGGTTGGAGGGGTGCTTGCCAGTTGCTTCTTACAAGGAAAGGGAGCGGGGATTGTATTTTATCTGAGGACCAGGGGGAGGAAAAAAAAATAAGAGCAGAGAGTTTACAAGGCTTTGAAATGTTTCAATCAAAGGAAAGGGCAGTTGAAAGCGGTTCTGGAAACATTTTTGGTGTTCCCCTGCACCCCAGGGCTCTGGATGTGGCCTCTGCCCATCGCTTTGGGAGGGGAGCGGGGAGAGGAAGGCAGATAAAGGGATCACCAGCGGGACCGTGTTCATACGGGGACACGGATCTGCTTCCTCCCGAGCTGCGTGTTGGGAGAGTTCAGCCCGGGGAGGTCCCGCAGCCCCTCCTCTCATTCAGGATCTCAGTGCTGCCTTTATGATGATGGTTTTGAAATCCTGTGGCTGACCTTTCCGGCGCTGGAAGCGATCCAAGGGCTGTGTCTTGAAGTACTGTAAAGGTTAGTGAGAAGGGAGAGAGAGGGAGAGAGAAAATGTCCTTTCAGCTGCAGGAGTGGGAGAGAGGAATGTCATCTATGCCGTCGGGGAGCGGGTGGCTGGCCGGGCTCCCCGGCCCGAGCCGGGGCGTCCCTGCCTCGCTGGGGACCTCGCTCCCCAGCCCCTTCCCAAGGTGCACATCGTCATTTTTGGTCAGGGTATGAGGCCATGTCCTTTCGGGGAGGGCTGGAGGGGCGGCCCCTCGGGGCTGCGCTCCAGGAGCCCGCTCTGCAGCGTCAGGCAGTGCAGGTCTGTGGGGATCGGCGCCGCTATCCAGATCTGCCCCACCGGCCATTCCCTGCCCGTCCCGGTCCTCTGGTGATTCCTGGGGCAGCGGATGATTTGATTTCAAAAACGTCCGAGGTGTTTTATGGAGCCATTTCAATGGAGTTGCACCCTGTCCTCAGCTCCCACACGCCGCTGCCTCACCAGAAACACGCTGGGGTGGATGGAGATTAAAGGGTAAACTGCAGGGCTCAGCCATCCGCTCCTACAGGATGCGAGCTCTTTCTAATTGTCCTCAATTAGAGACAGTGCCATTGCTCAGGCACGTCTTCAGGCAGGAAGCAGAGCCCGGGTCCCCCTCCAGCCCGGCCGGAGGGAAGGGCTGCTCGCCGCGGCCGTGGGGAGCGCGAGCAAGCGCTCTTGGGGGGCAGGAGCTGCCCCACCGAATGGTTTTTAGGAAGGAGTGCGTGAGGAGATGTTAAAGCCAGAGACAGGAGGAAGGAAAATAGCTCAGCAAGTTAACCCTTTCCTGCTTGCCTCCAGGATGAGACATCGGTGAGCAGTGAGGACTTTGATATGAACGACTCCACATGGATCTCAGCTGACCAGCACCTGAACTCCAGCCTGAGCCCCAGCCAGGACGAGAGCATGCGCAGCCCGCAGAACCTGCACGGCCAGGAGGACGGTGAGTGCCCCAGCGGGAGGGAAGCGCTCTGCGCCTCTGCCGCAGGATGTTTTTGTGACTTATTAAACATTAACCAGTCCTTTCTGATCAGGTGTCCCACCTGTAGGATAGATTTCATATCAGGACAGGCTTCGAAGCAGCGCCGACTCCCAGTCCTTCCCATTTAGCCTCTGGGTTCCTGCTCAGCCAGGGCCCTCTCCAGCTCGGAGCTGATGGTCCTTGTGCGGGGACCCGGCTCCCAGCTCCTCCAGAAAGAGGACACCAAATTCTCTCCTAAGGCGCCAGGTTGTAGTTCCCCGGGTGTGACGAGGAGAGCCCCGTTAGTGCTGCACCGCGGGCGGCGTCCTGCCCCGCCGACCGCGGGCTCCGTTCTGCCCCGCCGCAGGGAGGATGCCAAGGCTTCGCAATACAGGTTGCAGCTTTCCGTGCTTGGAAAGCTGCACCTTAGACAGCGTCCTGGATCCCCCAGGCAAGAAATGTGTAATCTGCGATAGCCGACAGCGATGAGAGCGCGGGGTGGACATGGGTGGCTCCTCACTGGGGGCAGGCGGTGGGAAGGGGCTGAAGGTGGCACACATGGGATGGGTGGGAGGAAGCGTTCGGTGAAGAGAGGTGCTGTGTTGCTTCTGTGAAACGTGCTAGATTAAAATAAAAGAGCAAGTAAATAAATGGTAGAAGTACGAGTTCAGGTCAGAGTTCATCTCTGTGATGCTTGGAAGGATTCGGTGGTTGGACTGTTGCTCAAGAGGTTGAATCCCTCATTGATCCCAGCCCGGCCGCTGCTGGGAGAGCGGGAAGGGAGCAAGAGTCGAGGGACAACCTGGGCTGGGCTGGTGCTGCTGTAAGGAAGGGAACGGGAAACCCACCCTGGAGGGAAGAAAGGGCTTTTGTGCTGGCAGATCTCCCTGGGGTGGCTTTTAGTTGCTTGTGTGGCCAGCGGCAGGGACAGCCAGGACACTGCTCTCTTCAGTCCAGCGTGTTGTGGCACTTCAGTTTCTGTTGCAAATCCGCAGTTTTGAGAAACTGCTGTTTTTAACGAATGAGCACCAGGCCGGGAATCGGGCGGCCTTGGCGAGGATGTGAAACCTGCCTGCGCGGCACCATCTCCCCGTGCGGCGGGACACCAGTGACGCTTCTGCTCGCCCAGGGCCCGGCAGCGCGGCTGTGCCTGTGGCAGGAGGAAGGGTGCTTCGACAGTAACACAGCTGCTCCCATTAGAAGCGTTCGGCTCTTCGGGACCAGGCTGCAACCTCCGCCCCGAGCGAGCGCTGCCTCTCGTACCTGTGGCCTGGCCGGGTCTCTCCGTGCCCCCTGAATTTGCCATTCTCCCATCAGGACATTTTGGGCTTGTGGCTTATCCCTCACCACTGAATTCCCAAGTCTCATTTACAATCTAGAATGACACAGTTTTGGTCCCTTTGCTGAACACTATTATTCAACAGGACAGCAATTTAATAAGGGACTCACGTATTTAGGCAAATCAAGATGTTCTCACTAAAGCTAAATCCGCTCGCTCTCTCTCTGCCCTCTTAGGAAATGCTTCCGATTTTTCATGCCCTCTGGTTTTTCTCCAGAAGGAGGTGTCCTCTTTGGGGCCCTTCTTGGCTCCTTCAGTTTCTTCTGTAAGGTTCGGTGGTGAGCAATAAGGCACAAATAGTCCCTTCCTTTTTGTGAGGAAGGCAAGTGTCCCGGGCTGTCCCCGGGGTCGGTAGGAGGCTAAACGAGGCAGACTTTGGCAGATGAGAAGTGATGGAGTCAAAGAGGAAGCAAGCCAAGCCCAGGGCTACTAACAAGACCCATCAAGAAGAAGCCAGGGACTGGGATTTCCATCAGGTCATCATACTTCAGGTGGCATTTTATGGGACTGAAAAGAGGTTTTGTCACTGCGGGGAATGTCCGTGTCTAAAATACAGGCTATTGCCGCTGGGGTGAAAGGCCTCGCGCCAGTCCCTCTGCCAAACCACTGCTCCCACCCAGGACTGAAGCACGCGCGAGGCTGAGAAGGGAAGAAGGACGATGGAGCAGCCCAGGCGCCCAGGAGGGCAGCGGGCGGTTAGAGGAGAGGAGCACGGAGCGGAGAAGGAGCACGTCGCGAGAGCAAAGGCAAATTACTGGCGCAGGGAAGGGAATGTGCATGAATCAAAGTGTCGAGCACTCTTCAGTTTCCTCTTCTCTTGACCCATGAAAGATCTTTTTTTTGGAAGGAAATGTGTTTTACCGGGTTCACACTGGCTTGCTAAGGCTGAGCACATGCAACACTTTCCCAAGGAAATCAACTCAATGGGAGTAACCAGCCCGTGTGAACTGCGCGCTCCTTGGAGCCCAGCTGGCCAGGGCGCCCAGGGCAGCCCAAGGGCGCTGGTCAGAGTACTCCAGGCCAAAACTGGCTGTTTATCCACATCTCGGGCGCTCAGCTGTCCGCCGTGCCCCACCGCAGCCCCGCAGAGCCCCAGCCTTCTGCCGCCGGTTGTAGGAGAGGCGGCCAGTGCCGCAGCGAGCCCCGCGCCTCCCCTGCAGCCGGGCTGGGCTCAGCTCCGAGCATCCCGGCGCCGCAGCGGGGTCTGGTCGCACGCCGCCGCCTTTGGTCGGGAGCAGGTTCAGGACTCGATGCTCTCCTCCCTCTGGAAATCCCTTTGCGTTACTAAATTGCTCCCGCCTGCTGCTGTCCGACGGGCGGGACGCTTGGAGTGTGTCTTCTGTGAAAGGGTTCCCAAAGTATAAAGTTTTAATGAAGAGTTGCCTAGTAGGAGAGCGGTATCATCTGACACACTTGTTAAAAAAGTCTCGGTTGAAGTACCGAAGCACCAACTCCAGGTCTTTCAGGAGCTTGGGAGGAGCAAGTGCTCTCCTATGGCATACGAGCCGAGCGGTATGAAATCCAGAGAGGCGGGAGAGCAGGGAGCTGTCGTCCCATGCTGTGATCTGCAGGTATCTGCTAAATCTTCAGAGAGCTAAAAAGCAGCTAGGACGAAAGCCAACACCTTCTTTTGTCTCTGTGCCCAGAAACCTTGGCCCAGTATAGCCATGCTGCAACCAGCGTCAGCCCTTGGAACAGCAGGGAGAACAAATTAGACCTAATGACTTCGGTGGGTAAGGGACCGTTGGGAGAGTATCGGCCGCAGAGCCGGGGTTCCCGCTGGGTTGGCAGGCTCACGGCGGGACGCAGGACACGCCGGCCAGCTCTGAGCAGCGACGCCGACACACACACTCGCTCCTTCCATTTTCCTTTGTTACTCATCCTGCGGGCCCCAGCACGGAAAACGTGAAGCTCCCTGCAACGTCCCTTCCCCATCGGATGTTGCTCACAGCGTACATGCCCGCAGGAAGCCAGCGGCTACCCAAAGCGACAGCAAGATCAACACGGACTCTTTGCTGCTGAAGCGGAGCTATTGTGCAGGACATCCTGGAGGGACGCGTCTGCGGGAGCCAGCACACGTTCGGAGCAAAGTGACCCTGAATGCCGCGCCATCTCGCTGTCCCCTGTGCCTGTCACCCTCCCTGAAGGCGTCCCGTGCCCGCTCCCGGCTGAGCGCAGGTGCCGGCGCCTGGCCCTGCCGTGCCACAGCAGTTTCAGCTGGAGTCTGTCCATCCTCAGAGCCTGTCTGCGTCCACACGCGAGCGCAGCATTAGGAAATGGCCCGGTTTGGTCTGGTGCGTGGGGCTGTGCAGGGTGTCCCACCGCGGGGATGCTGTGGCCTGCTGGTGAGTGCAGTGCCCTTGAAAAGAAAGCAGGAGGCAGAGCCCCGAAACCCCGGTGTGTGTGGCATGGCAAAGCGCTTGAACTAATGTAGAAGATGCCTCCGTCTTGCCCGCTAATGGGATACATCTTGCCTCGTCCCTGGCCGTACATCCCGCTCCATTGCGCAGGAGCAGCACTCAGCACGGGCAGGGGTGGCTGCTCCTCAGCCCATCCTGCCCGAGCCTTCTGAAGAGCAGGGAAAGCTCCTGGGTGTAAGATCTGCTTTCCCTGCACAGGGGGCATGGGGGTGCTTCATGGCACCGTGCTGGGACAGATGCCCTTCCAGCTGAGGTCCCGGCGTGCCATCCTCGCTTGGCTGGCAGCGTCGCCCCCGAGCTCGTTCTGCGTGGAGCAGCGGTGGCTAATCCAGACCTTGGAGAAAGGACTTTCTTAACCTACTTAACTGTGAAGGCACACGCTCCCTGGGGGCATCCCTCGAGGCGGCCAGCCGGGAAGGCTCTGGGTGTTGGGAACATCCCTCAGGAGTGCTCCAAGGAGGGACCTCAAGGACGTGCAGGTGGGCTTTATTTCAGGATGCCGTCCCGGGAGCAGGTAGGGCACGTCGCTCCTCTGGACACCCTGCCCTGGGACCGGCAGGGACAGCACCGAGCCGTCCCCAGCACAGCAGTCTCTCTTCTGATATGGCACGCGTCCCGCAGCTCCGGGTCACACTGCCGTTATTTGGCAAGATGCCCACGATGTGCTGCACGTCAGGTTCCCTGAACCGCCGACCTGGCAGAGCGCTTTCTGGGGAGGAGAGCAGCCCTCTTGCCCAGTGCCGACCAGAAGCCAGGCCCGTGCCTGCACAGCGAGCTCAGGACCCCACGCACCAGCCTCACGCCAAGCTCCATCCCCGGGGCAGCTACGATGCCCCGCTCCACACCTGCACCTCCCTGGCAGCTGGTACCCGGCCGCGGGGCGATGGCACCCTCCTCACTTTGCCGTAGCAGGGTCACTTACGCGGGTGGCGTCGGGTGTCGCGCGGTTCCCGGTTTCCCTCCGCTGCCGGGGCTTTCCTCGGCCAGCCCCGTCCCTGCGCCAGGTGAACACAAACGCACCTTTGCCAGCCGCAGGGAAGCCACAGCCATTGCTGGCCGTTGCATGGGGTGGTCTGCGAGCCCCGAGACCCTTGCTTTTCCCAGGCTGCAAAATCCTCAGTGTTTTTGGGGCTTCTTGCACCAGTGATGGATTTCACCCTCCCAGAAGCCCTAGCTCAGAGCCTAAACAAGACTAAGACCAGCATCCAAGCCTCACAACACCT